TCAAAGAGCTGTATGCGAAGATCGCTGCTGCGTCACTGGCACCACTTGAGAGAATGTTTCGTGGGTAGTCAAGCAATGCCAGTGCACCGACTAAAGGCCGTGGCTGGTAGTTGTCTGGCAAGGAGCTGACGGCTGCTTCTCCGTCCCTTCTCGTGCGGCATGGCTGTTTCGCATTCCCTATCTTCTATGCTAGTTCTGAAATCGTCGTAGCACACCTTAGTTTACAGAAATTGATTCCCTTAATTTCAGTGTTCTCCATCGTGTTGCTTTTTTTGCTTTCCTTTTTATTATACTTTCGGCCCACTCTGCATCACCACCTTAATTTGAGCCCTCTTGCACACCCATTTTGTCTGCACTTCCTTTTGACTCCTTGACAACGGTGTAGAGGGCATGCGCTCAACTCCCTGAATGGTTTATACTTCGAGCACCTGCTACATCTTTTCTAATTTTTGCATTTACTAGGTTTTTCAGAAAGTTCTGTCGTTTTTCGACCCCGAATTTTAAATGCATGTATCTCGGCTTAAGCCAAACCTTTCGAGTTGATTAAAAAACCTTCGAAAGCGCGAATCTTTTCTATAAGAAGCCGTTTCGTTGGGTACGTTTCTTCGGAATGCTGGAGCTCTGGAGGCTATGAAATGAGGGAACGTCGTTCCAGGCTGGAACTGCCAGCGTCATGTTGGCTTTTGAAGTATTTCTCTTTAGAGGAGCTATCGATATCCTAGGAAAAGTATCATTTGATAGACCAGACGTCCAATGTGTGAAAAGTTCGCAGCATTACTCCGTAGTCCAGCTGGTCCAACTTGTGAAGGGCGTGCGATGTGCGTCCAAGACACCTTTCAGGATGTGTCCGTTCCTTTATAATGAGGAATGCTGGACCCATGTCCTTAGAGTTTTTGGTGATTTTTGACGTTATATAAAGATTGATTTTCCACTGTAACAGTTCCACCTGATACTGAAGAACATGGCCAGCCGCTGACCCATGAAAGCTGCCACAACCCTCCTCCAGCACAGTTTAATTCTGCAAAGTTTGTAGAGCTTGATCGCCGTCGATCTATTCAGCAAAGCTTCGTGGACTGCAGAAAGAATCCATTCTTCATTGTACGTCGCAAATCAGTAGAGAAACGAGTCGCTTTTATCACATAAAACAAGCGACAATTTGATGGAACGACCCTTCAAATTGGTGATTTGTCGCGGCACGCCCCTATCAAATTTTTTTGGATTTTCTAGCTACTTCCTAACTTGGTTCACCATGTCATATACATCCACGAAGAACAGAGCATATTGGACTAGGGATATTAAGAATCTTCCTAGCTATCTTACTGCAAACGGCAAAAGAACAAACTCGCCAGGGAGTCGATCCCCTGACCTCTTTTTCGTGAGCCTCGACCACAGCCCCTGCGCTTTTCTGCTTCATAATTCCTTTCAGAGAAGAGTTCAGCAGATAAGGAACACATATTTGAGCTCAGCGTCCCAAGGCGCGTATACACATATACATCTCATTTCAATTGGCCGGGTTGACCAAATGACCTTTCCTGGTTAGAACAAAGCTGAGCTAAGCTTCGGATAGAGCAGGAAAAGCACTTCGAAACGATACTTATAGCGAGAACAGCCTTTCGTGTCAAGAAAAGTGAAGCATCCAAATTTGAGGTGTCAGAAGATGATAGAACTTTCGGAAGACCTAATATTCTACAGACCACAATCTGTACTCTTTTCTACAGGGTGCGCCAAAATTACGGAGACAGCGACTTCGAGTTGCCTAGGATGAGCAAGGTGCAATTCTTTGAAAACAAAAATGCAGTGACGTGCACAGTCCCATTCTGAATCGTCGACATCCATGCAATTTTTGAAATTCCTTGGTTTGTGTTTATACGGGTCCTCAGAAACATCGAGGAACCATCGACTGTGGCACGCAATGTGGCGAGTAGGACTCGTCAAGCTCATTTTAGAGCGGTTTCTTCAACGAATCCCTAGACATAATGTGTTTTATGCAAGCCTCAGCTTCTAGAACGGATCCGACAGCGTACCCTATCGAGCTCAGATCTGAAATGCTGTTCTACCACCGTTTAAGCCGACAAAGTCGAAAAAATCGGTTCTGCATCAATGCTGCACTAGTACTGAACCACCCTTGCCTCGTAAACGGGAGCTCCTACTTGATGGAAGGCCCAGCAACGATTTTCAAAGTGAAAATAAACTCAGGATAGCAATGGGCTCTGATAAGTCCAAAAGAGCCCCCTGATTCCTATCTCTCGTGACATCCAGTGAAACCAGCGCGTCAACTACCTGCAAATTCTATCGCACACAATCCTTAGATTGTTCGTGGTCGCCACAGAAACACGCCCTTCTCATCCAGAATGACTGCATTCAGCTCCTTGTCCCCTGTACCACTTGGAGCATCTATTGATAGTGCTCGGGTATACACCAAAACGATGATAATTGTCGCGTGCCAAAAACCCTCAACGTCGAAGTCCAATGATTTAGGGACGGTGTCAGTATCAGTCAACCGCTGCAGCTACCATAGATTTTGGTGGTTGAACAAGGTAAGCATAAACAATTCTACACCACAGTACCAAAACTAGGACAGAAGAAAACAGCATCTGTGAATATCAGTTCAAATTGTTTGCTCATGCGTTGTCTCCGTAATTTTGGCGCACCCTGTATTATTCCCTATTGTAATTGCAACCATTCCGTAGCCAATTATTCTTTAATCCCTGTACAATAGTTATACAAATAAATTAATAAACAAACCACTTCATCATTGCCCGGCCATTAAATATATATTTCAAGTGGAGGGACTAAAAACATCTGAAACTTGCCTCTTCATTGTCATAGCACGTCATTTCGACCAACATTCCACAACGGTACGCGTTAAGTTTACCACATCAAATATCATTGGCAACATTTTGTCACGCTCAAGTTCTCAAGTTTCATCGAATGCTCACAATCGCTTGCTTCGATTGGCTTAAAAGTATCAACATCTGCCAAACTGGTCAATTAGCTGATCGAAGGTTGAATGCTTTCGTGAACATTGTACTTTGTTGTCCGAAATGATCACACACCTTCCTCATCAATCTCGAAAATCTCCCAATCTCCCACTCACTGTTTCATTCTAGTTAGCCTATCGTCAGACTCACTCCTATTTCTTTCGACTGTTCTCATGTGTGACCTTGTTTTGCGCTGATACCGTAGTAACAAAGGTAAGCGCATCGATTACAGTGAATGATTCGAAGCCATTGATCCACGGCTTGAAACGTCTTCCATACTCGTTCTGTAGTCGGACACGAATACCTGATGCTCGTGTGGGCACTCCTCTACCCACTAAAACAAAAAATGGCATGCACAAGCAAACACTGCTGTATTTTCTCCTGTTCAAAGCTTGTTACCCTCCCCCCTAAAATTTTCTATGCTCCACATATTGACTCAAATCCATTTGTTTTTCTTTAAGATGTCGATAATCACGAAGGTGGCGCGTCCCAGAGTACCTACTTCATTATTTTCCAAGTTAAGTGGTAATTAAATTGTAAGGACAGCATTTGATTATACTTTTTACCGACTTCCGTGCTCTTAACGAATGCACTCCGACGGTCAATCGTGTCGATGTCCTTCCGCGATGTCTTCGGTGCATTATCACCAGTGGGCAGTGTGGTCGATGTGAATTAGCATTCGTTCGACCATCACTTTCGTTCTTAATGGCCGCCTGATGCCCGCGCCGCCCACCTTCCGTCAGTGATCTGACGATGTCTCGTCTTGATAGATCGACTAGTCTAGATTCACCTCCGGAAAAGACGATTTTCCGTATAGGTAGGTTAATTCTTCCTTTCTGTGGCTGAGCTCCCTCTTCCGTCATCAGCAGTACCATCATTGTCGAAACAATCTGTTTGTCTTGCAATAAGCAGTTGTAATGCTTCTTCAAGCCCTCTTTGATTGTCGCTGCTTTCTCATTGTAAAGATATTGTACCTACATACTACCACAGTGATCTGGAATCCATTCTAAATTTATTTGCTCATGAAAATTCCCATAGCAACTAACTAAATTAAGTCTTAATCGAAGGGACCACTATCGGCCTTGTTTTGGTGTTTTTTTTACCCTTCTTCTTAACGGCTTAAAGGCACAGAGCTCGCATGAAGGATCCCCTTCGTTCTGTCGGATGGACCCTTAGGAGACCAGATGTGACACTCCCGTGTACGAAAATCACTCGAGAAGAGCGCTGGGGTACTGCAAAGTGAGCTGCTGAAGCTGCAGATTTTTTTCTCTTATCAGGCTGTCTGGCGCTCTCTCATCTGTAGCGCTCTCTCGCCTCATACTCTCCTCTCCGCGCTTAGTCTCTCATTCCCTTAGCACAGCCGATTAGGAAGGTGAGTGAGCCCTTAACCTAAGCGTTTTCGACGGATTCTTTTCCTTTTTTTACTGCCGGCCCATTCGCACCAATACATTCGCATTCGTGTGCAAGAACCACACCGATTTAATACTGACACATGCTCCTGAAATCCAGTAGACTTCGAGAATAAGCCTAGTACATCATCTGGATATCCTTATAGCTGAGCAATCATCCACAGTTGCTATCCACTTCTTATTCACTTCTCCTAGTTCAGTGAAGCTAAAAGGCTCCACAAAACAGCCTTCGCGCATGTAAAGGCCGATGGTTAATAAGGTAACATGATCCAAGAGTTTCTTACGAGGCCTTCACTCATCGGCGGCCTGGCAGGTGTTCGCTCATAGCTTTCATCATGGGCAAAAATTGTGACGTTCGATTGTCTCAGTGGCATCGGCCTCCTTTTTTGCTTAACGATTTTTCGCCCATCTGTCTTGATAAAGTGAAAGATCCGGTTATTTCTGTGCTGATAAAATGCATGTACGAACAGAACTTGCTTTGCTATTTCGCAGTAATGTCGGCTTCACGGTGGCTTTACGTTCCATAGAAGTATTAGTGACGAAGTTTGAACTTAATCGAGCAACTGGGGCCGACCAACCAGCTGGTTTAACGTTCGATGTCTTATGGAGGAAAGAAAACGTCAGCCGAAGGCCTGTTGCGGTCACACCTGGAATTTGATTGACTTTACACATTGCTGTTCAACTGAGAGTAACCTCTTAAAAACCGCTTCCCAGTAAGTAATCACTCAACCTACCTATTTATTGCCGGAAGTGTTTTCGGAAACAACCACGGAAGGGCGATTTCTTTATCTCAGACTTTCCTGAGTGAGCTATATAATGTAAGCGACTATTTCATGTACGATTATTTTAAGACCTCAATGATGATCGTCCCCTCCCCTCAACAACCGCGTCCTTGTACGCTGCGAGTGAAGCAGGTCAGTTGCATTAATCATTTTTATTTCTGCTTTCTGCCGGATGCATGGCGTAACCAAACGCAATAACTGGATTACTGCAAAGAACGAAAAGCTGCAAGTAGTGAAGTACTAACTCTCCATTGAAGTCACTTCTAACGATGTGAAGCAATCAGTTCTGCTTCAGGTGATCTCGCGATGCCTTCTGTACTGTTCCCATCGATGCGGTTGATGCTGGCGGCCATGTTGTGCTGCTGCTTCATCACGCTATCCATTTCAAGTTCAAATCTGGCCGTGGCACTCATTTGCATGACCTCCTGTCCTCACCACGGTTACGGTGGAGACCTTAAATGGAAAACTGAGCAGGTAATCCGGAAGAGAATACCAACGTGGTATCAGTTTTAGCTTCCCTAAACAGAAATGCTGTCTGCGAAATTCGAAATTCTGGAGAATTTACCATATTCTATACAAGGTGTGGGCAGAAATTGATGAGTTTATTCGGTATTTTTTGTTAACCAGCGCAGCACACCTATGCGTAGAAAAAATCAATAGATAAAATCTCTCTTCCTGAATGAATTTTAAAAGTTGATCTCAGTTGGAAACTAAAAAAATGGCGTTCAATTTCTCGAAGTGTTCAGTTCAGTACCTGGAGACATTTCTTTTTTTTCGCCATCACCCCATTTATTCTATGCTCGAGGTCAAACTCACTTCCGTCGCTCCGGGTCAATGGACCCGTATGAGCACTGCGATTTGATCCGAGCCTCACAGGACACGGAAGAAGCTCAGTGTGTCCGTGTGTGGGAGCACTTTCATTTTGAAATTCTTGAGGACACTCCAAAATGATGAATGCTGCCAAATATTTTATCTATTTATTTACTATTTATCATAGCTATTGCGCTGTTTATCTTATGTCAGTTGGTATATGAATAGAAATGGGGTAACAATAGGGGTATGACAGGGCAAATAAATAGGAAAGAAATTGGAAAAAAATGGGAGAAGAATTCCGTCAGTACAATAGCTGGTATATGTATATTATGCGTATAAAAGTACTACATTTGGGGTGGGGGTCAGTGCCCAACAGGAGGCGAAGGGCAGTGGGGCCGGCATCATTGAAGCCGTGGTGAGGGAGGCTCGGATACAACTTTATGTCCACAATCTTGGAGATAAATGGAAAAGATAATCTCTCTATTCGCTAGGTAACTTGTTAAATGAATTTTTCAAATATAGTCGAATGATTTCAGGAAGGACTCGTTTTGGCCGCACAAAACGCTGGCTCACTGCTCACTTTAGTCACTGGTATGTGGGCAGATCGGCTTAACGGTAAATGGATGGTACGCTGACCATTATGCACAATCTTGCGTTGCTGTTAAAGCAGCTTGTTTCATCTTGCCGTGTTCAGGTGTTCGTTGCCTTACTTCTCTGTTGTGTGGGCAACCTTGTGCTTCCCTTATTTGCGGCTGAATCCTTCTGGTTTGCTGTCATTGCCAGAATTGCCGTTGGAGCTTCCGATGCGTGCTTGATGCCAGCGTGTAATTCGCTGATAACGAGGTGGGATATAATTTTGCTTTGGGAGTTAAGCGAAAGTTAAGGCAGACTGATCGCCTTGTTGGACAGTATTGGCAAAATCACCGAAACTATACAATACTATCGCAGATTGTATCTGTCCTGTGTCAAAAGCACTATGCAGGTGCAAGATGGTCCGCAATCGAATCGAGCTGAGCAGGACAATACGGACTGATCTCCGGATGGACTGTCAGATAGGTAAGAAACGAAATCACTTTGTTTTTTAGTTGTCTGACCAGTATATAATTTATGCTATACGCCACTGTATAAACACAGGCAATCGTCATAGTGTAGATGGCTGGCTGGTCTGTAGCTTTTGAAGGCAAATGGTGGTCATAGCGCCAACCGGATTTGCGCGGAGTCGTAGGAACTTTGCCGCAGACCACTCTGAACACACACGTTGGATACACCGCGATCCACCTACGTCCCCAAAAAACAAGAAACCGCTCAGCATCGAAACGAGGACATCAATGACGCAATGGGTCAACATTTACGGAGTCTAATCGACTGAATACACCGATCAATTCCATGTGCAGTAAATCGACCTTGACCCCATCGCTTTCCATCACCTCAAGTCAGTTGCGGCCCATCGAGTATTAGAAAGCTGTTTATGTATCCTGATTAGTGGAAGTGAAATATTTCACAAAAAGATAGAACTCATCGAACACAATTGTCTATTACAGGTTTATATCATCTAATCCACTGCACGCGTTTGGGCCAGCATGAACACACTTTAGCTTTTTTAACACATTGACGACATTGAGACGCGGTAACGCGTCTCACTTTGCGCACCTCGTTGGACATTGAGACGCGTTACCGCGTCTCACCCTTATCATCCCTTTTTCTAGGGCATGCGCAGCTTTTTCCCGAATTGTTTGTCTCTCTTCTATGGATTAGAACATAACATTATTGTGAACGACATAGGTCATTGTTTGTTCAAATATGCTCCAGTTTAGAAGAAGTTTTCCAAGCTCACCGAAACCGGCGGCTTGGTTCATTAATAGTTTTCATGCTATTCTCATGAACACGTCAATAAAAAAGGGTAGTGAAAGTAAATGCAAATCTAAAGAGACAGAAAAATACATGTTTCACTTGGTATAACCACATCAAAAGAGCTTTTGGCATCCACTACAGATAAAATGACTAAAAGTTTCCTTTTTCATTACCATTACATGTTCTTTAATCGGAACTTCGTCACTATATACTCTATTACCTTCTACGCATTGACTGTTACTGAGATGTTTTTGTACCACTGGTGCTTTAAAAAGTTATCAATAAAAATTCACGGATCCGAGGTGCGGCGGTCGCACTCGCAAAATCGGCCCGGTCCCACACGGCCAAAAAAGCCAAAACGCGCGCGGTCGTCAATGTGTTAAAGTATTCTACATATATTCGTTGATCAAGAAAACAACGAGCGGAAACACCGAACACGCCGTTACAAATTACTTTAACCCTTTCTGGACCGGGGTGTCAGGGACTATTTTTCCGAGGATAAGGTTTTTCGACGAAATCTCTCATGTTGTTACATATCTATGTAAGATACTCATGTCGTACGTATGAAAAACCTAGACTTCAATCTCAAACTAGTTCCTAAAATAACTAAATACTAAATGGATGTCCACTTTGAGCTCAGGAAAACAGTTATAAATCATTTGAAAACTCTTCATACAACAGAATTTATGACACAACGTGCATGTCGTATCTGATGCTATTGAATCCAAACGTTTCGGACACTTTCCGTCCCTTTTCCCCATTACAACTTATTTTGAACAATTTTCATTCCTGCCTCCCTTTTATGGCCCTATCACTTTTATTACACAACGGTTTTCTGTCATATTCACTACATATATACTCTTAGGCATGACAAATACAAAACGGACAAAGTAATGATTTCAGTGGAAATACAGGTCGAATATATTTATTTATGCTCGCCGCGCAGCACGCGCGCACGCCACGGCAAAAGTATGCGGTCCGGAAAGGGTTAAATTGCGTTAGGCAAAGGAAAGGTGCTAGCGAAAATCCTCATTTCCAAATCAGACGATCCATATCTTCTCTAAAATTCAAAACCCTCAAATCATGCGCTTACAAGCATCTCCCCATTCATTTTATGGGTTATCGTTTCTACGAGAATCACTTTCCAACTTAAGTGATTATCGCGAAGTGCAAGATATGAACTGCTTCTATCTTCTAGTTCAAAGATCGCCTCTCGAAGAAATGGCCGCGTCGAGGTTCCGCGCAAGTGGCTGTGCGCGACGAGCGGACGATTCTGTTGGCCCTCGCCTCTAGAGGCAAGTAAGCGAACTGTCGTCATCTTCACTGAAGAAACGTAGAATATGCCGCTTTTTCTTCTCTAGTAAAGAGAAAGAAACAACAAAAAAAAAAAAAAGGATCCAAAAAAACTAAAAGAACTGAGTTGCTTGATGTCCCGAAATATAGAGACTGAAATGTACAGAAATATAAAGACTTCTACTTCTCTCTTTTGCCAATAATCACGGCCGGACTAGCTTTCCAATCTTTCATGGTCGCTATACAGTGAGCTTTACAAGCAAGTTGTGAGCTGTTGAAGATGGCAGGAAAAGGAACGTCAGTATACATATGAGGCGTGCTAATCTATCCGCAGCAGTAATTTAGCTTCTCTGAAGTTCTGCGTAGAGGTACGCAGGTAACCTGATCACGGATATGACATCCACTTTTGACACAGGGGCACCTAGTGCCACAAATACATTTGCGCTGCATTACTTGCTGACTTTGAATGCTTTATCTTTGCTTTATCAGTTGACGTGAACAAAATGGTTATACATACTGCTATAAACACTGCTCACAACTTGCTCGAAAA